GTTTTGCATGTCATTTGGTTTCTAAATGACTTAAATTTCAATGGTTTCATGCTCTCAGCAGTCAATAATTGAATGCATAATGTACTGTATGTGTTTGGCACAATTCATCTCATACAACCTGTCCATGTTACATCTGTCTATTTTGGTTGCTTCTACCAAGGGACAGATGAATTTGCTGCAAAATACAGCTTCATTGGAGCTACAGCCTTTGACTTAAACAACAAAAGATATGAAAAGCATTTTCTCTTTCCTTTAAATATGACTCCACTTATTTTCTGCAGTAACAATGCATGATGCTAAGCTGCATTTTATTATTTACATTAGATCAAATCTGGCACCTGCTTTTCATCTCAACAAGAATAAGTGCACATGAAATGTCATATTTTATTTCTTCATATTTTATCATTGTCGTTTATTTAGAAAAGCCAGTGCAGTATTGCTCTAGATCATATAAATAATCTCCATGCATAAGAATCAATCCAGTCTTGACATTTAGTTCAGGTTCATTGCATTGCATCGGTATCCTTCCTTACAGTAAAAGAGAAAAGGATGAGGTAACTCTGGGACGTTCTCATGGGTGAGCTCTGATTCAGCAATCTCTCTGCTTGCAGATGAAAGTTTCAAATGAACTGATTTCCTGAAGCAATGAGATGTGCGGTCAAGTGGAGGAATATGACTATATCAGTCTCATGCAGAGGTGAAAAGGCCCTGGCTGAAACAGGAGGTACTGAACCTCATTTTACTCGTGCATCTCATCCCACAGCATCAGCCCTCGCAATACTATTCTATAGTATCACATGCATTACTATTAAATTACATGCTTATAGGAAAATCAACATCTATTAAAACAGCATTTTCCAGATCTATGCTGCTCACAGACTCAGAAAAAAAAAAAAGGCTTCTGAGTTCAGGAGGATTTTCTCTGCCTAAAGCAAGACAGATGGGGAATCGATTTTCAGAAAGTTTCAGTCTGGATCTCATTTTCTATAAAAATATTATGGGAATTCTTGTTAACCCTTGATCAAATCAGGCACTGAGCCGCATCATACGAAACAGGCCGTGTTTATGAGAAACCAGTTATGAGATTCCATCAGCCCTGACACCCTTTCAATAATTGATCGAATAACATCATGCATTACAAAAAGTATTGGATGCTACTGGCTGGTGTCATTCTGATGAACTGATATGTGCGCTGCTTGCTTCCCTGCTGAAGACATCCATCATTCAGACAGAGTGAGAGTCAACAGTACAACGAACAGCATGAAAGATGCACAAACTAATCCATGTCTCAAAATCGTCCATGTCCTATGCATTTCCCTTCAGATCTTTTGAGAAGAAACAGGTCTAGACATAAAACAGTGAATGCACAGCAAATTAAAAATATCAGTGAATAATTTTAATCTAATCATCATATAAAGCTATCAAATACCTCTTTTAAGACTCGGAATATAGCTTAAAAGTCATATCGTATACTTTTATGATGCTTTTTTCCCTTTGTGGTAGAGTATAAATTAATTGCCATCCACTTTTTGTTTAATAAAAGAAAATAAAAAAGTATAGAGTGATATATTGGGTGAGTAAATTAAGACAAAATGTTATTTTTTTTGGTGAACTATTCATTATATCAACATTGTGAATAGATAGATATTTAAAATTGATATTTATATGTATTTCTGTGGATTTAGACATTATTTTATTTGCGCTTAAAAACAATCCTTGAAGCATCCGTGCAAATTTGTCATATATTGAAATGTTTTTGTAAAAATATACAAAGGTAAATATTGCTGTATATTAGTGTGTATTGTTAAATT